ATAAAGATTAATAAATAATAATTAATAATTAATATAGTTAATAATAGCAACGATAATAATTGATTAATTATGGCATAATAACAATGATGATAATAATGATAATAATAGCAATATGAACAATAGCAATAGCAATCACAACAAAAACAATTATACGATGATAAACTAAATTAAATTAATTTTATATTAATTAAAAATAATCAAGTAATTATGCTCAAAGGATCGTAGTAATGATTTGATAATTTATTGTTTGTAATTTGTAGTAGGTATGGTTTGTAACCGTTCTTACCTGCTACAAATTACAAACAAATCAACGGAAATTTTAGCAAACCAACTGACTCAGTACCACCACCACCACCACAACCACCACAACGACCACCTCCTCCTCCTCCTCCTCCTTCAGTCCTTCTCGTTGGGATGAGAATGGAGGAATGGGATGGACGAAACGAACCAATCAACCAACCTACCAACCCAACCAACCAACCAACCAATCAACCAGGAAACCGATGAAACCAACCAACCCATTTTTTAGCATTTAACAATTTCAGTTTACCAATTAACTGATTGATCAGACAACTTATTAATGAATCGATTAATTTGAATAGAATTATTAGTTTATATGTATGCTAATACTAGCACATTATAAATAACAAATAATTGTATAAATGATAAATAATTATAATCATTTTTTTTAATCCCAAATTGTCTTTTTTAAAAAAAAAAAAAAATGAAATTAAAATCGAATATGACTGTGCATTTCAATTTTCATAATTACTGTTACATTTTTTAATCGAAAATGGAATGAAATCGTTGAAATGTTATCAAATGATTATTTTAATTTTTAGAGAAACAAAATTGAACCATAAGTGGAAGAAAGAAAAAGAAAATAAAAAGGAAATTAAAATAAATTTTTTAAAGCAATTTCGTTTTAGCTACGCTTTTTTAAACAATTCAAAATTGTTCCATCTAAAAATTACCAAATATTATATATGCATTTTGAATATATAATATCACAAATTAATATATCACAAACATAAAAAAAATACGAATAATATCAAAAAATTTCCATTAAAA